ACGGTGGCTCTGGCCCCGCCCCGTCTCGAACTCCGTCGCGGGATCGCCGTGGAAACGCATTCTCGGGAACCGGCAGCCGCCAATGGGAAGGGAGCGAGTGCCACGAACTGGCCAATGAGGAGAGAGCGGTGCGGAGTTTAAATCCGCGGCTGGGGCCTGCGTCGCCGGCGTGCTGCGGCGGAACGGCTGTTGGTCTGCGTTGGGTCCCGGTCCCCCGCTCCTGGGGGCTCTCCCGTCTTCTGCTTCTCCCGCTGAGCTGCGGCCTGGTGAAGAGGAAGCCATGGCGCTCCGGGTCACCAGGGTGAGTGAGCTGCTGCGGACGGCGAGAGGGAGGGCGCGGCCTTTCTCGCTGCGTGCTCCCTTCCTGTCTCGTCTGCCGGAGCCCCCCGGGCGGGAGCGGACCACGCAGGGATTTGGGGAGGAGGATAGGGGTGTCGGTGGGCCCCTGGTGGGGGAGCTTGGAGATGCGACCGACGAAGAGAGGAAGGTGACAAAGATCTGGATGGGCCTTGGATAAACACTGGGGGAGGGGGCGGCTGTTGGAGGGTCGACGGGAAACCTTTCCTAAAAGGTGATGGAGGGGGGAAATACTACCAACAATAAAAAATATATTTAAAAAACAAAATAAAAGGTGATGAGGCTCCCTGTGTGGGCTCCCACCAACTGTGTTGACTCCCTTCCCGGAGAGAGAGAAGGTGCCGGCAACTGGAGACCTTTTTTCTTTCCTTTCAAATGCAGACCCGTGGTATTTTAGGGCCAGCCGGGACTCATCGGCAATCCCTCTGTACGAGAGTGAAGGGATTCTGGGAGGAAACGGGCTTGTCACAGTCTTAGCCAGACCCTGCAACCCGGGTTTCCTCCGGCTCTCAGCCGACTTCCGTCCTAAGACCCTCTCTTTGGGCTCATCCTAACCCCCGACTTACTCTAACCTATCTGTGCCACCTCTCAAATTGTCTTGCTTCTTTCAGAACACGAAAATTAATGCCGAAAATAAGGCGAAGATCACTATAGCAGGCGCAAAGCGCGTGCCCGTGGCCACTACTGCAACCTCCAAGGCCGGGCTGAGGCCGAGAACAGCCCTTGGAGACATCGCTAACAATGTCAGTGAACAGCCCCAGGCCAAGCTGCCTCTGAAAAAGGTACCTATCTTCCCGGTTCGACGTGTCTGTAAGTGTCTGTAAAAGTCCACTTTCCAGCTGTGACCCTGGATAGAAAAACATTTCACTCTCTCCCATTCATCTACAGGAGGCAAAAACATTAGCTGCTGGAAAAGTTATTGCTAAAAAACTACCGAAACCTATGGAAAAGGCACTGGAGCCTGCATCAGTGCCTGTGCCTGCGCCTGCGCCTGTGCCGGAACCAGCGCGGGAGCCGGAGCCTGAGCCTGTTAAAGAAGAAAAACTTTCGCCTGAGCCTATTCTGGTAAACTTATTTTACTATTTTAGAGTCTGTTGATTGTTACTTTCAAATCTCACTTGATATTCTAATGCATTGAATAAATAGTAATAGTAACACTAATAGTACACTATAGAGTACTCTGCTAAACATTAAATGCGTTAATTCACATAATCTTATATTCTATTAGCTAGTATTCTACTTTGTAGATAAGCATGTTCTAGAGCAGGGGTGGGCAAACTTTTTGACTCGAGGGCCACAATGGGTTCTTAAACTGGACCGGAGGGCCGGAACAAAAGCATGGATGGAGTGTTTGTGTGAACTAATATAAATTCAAAGTAAACATCATTACATAAAAGGGTTCGTTTTTTTTTTTTTTTAGTTTTATTCATTTCAAACGGGCTGGATCCGGCCCGAGGGCCGTAGTTTTGCCCACGGCTGTTCTAGAATCATGTCTAATCAGTGGCACATAATTGGATTCAAACCCAGGCTTGTCTGGCTTCACAACTTGTGCTTTTTTGTTGTTGTTAATCCTCACTATAGAATATTTTTTCCATTGATTTTTAGAGAGTAGAAAGGAAGGAGAGAGTGGGGGAGAAGGGAGGAAAGAGAGAGAGAAAGAAACATTGATGTGAAAGAGATGCACCTGACCATGCCAGGATCAAACCTGCAACCAGATACCTGCCCTTGAATCCAACTGCAACCCTTCCCAAGCTCTAACTAATGAGCATCACCGGCCAGGGCATAACCTATGCTTTGTATATATCTTTGTTGTTGTTTTTTAATTGATTTCAGAGAGGGAGAGAGAGAGAAAAAGCAATGATGAGAGAGAATCATTGACTGGCTGCCTCCTGCACGCCCCACACTGGGGATCAGCCTGGGCATGTGCCCTTGGCCAGAATCGAACCCTTAACCCTTCAGTCTGCAGGCCGGCGCTCTATCCACTGAGCCAAACCTGCTAGGGCACAACCTATGCTTTTAATCGGTTTGTTGATGGTATTGAGTAGTAACTGCCTGGACCAGATTGAGCTGTCTTTGATACAAGTCATTTCTGACCAAAATTTGTTGACTGAAACACAGATTGTTCTCTTGAATCTTTTTTTTTCACTCACTAGTTAAATATTAATAAGCCTGTAATATATAATAGTGTAAAGCAGGAAGAAAATGTAGCTCTCCAAAAGTAGGTAAAAAGATGAGTTAGCCTCAAAAACCAAGAATTAAATAAATGTATTTACTGTGAGGGGAAAACAGGTCATCTGGAAGAAGCTGCTTTGCTGAAATTACAATGAACTGCATTCTGAAGCTCTTATTTTTAAAAAATTAGTAAAACCAGTTGGGAAATCTGTAAATGTCATTCAGCCTGACTTCTTATATCTAAGGGTATAAGACTTAGTATTGACCTTCTGGACCTAGCTCATGAAACCTGAAGCATGCACAATCTTTAATTGGCAGTACCAAACTACCTGGGGTTTCCTTGAGTCCCATACTGATTCTTGCCTTTCCCGCTCCCTTTCATTTAGCTAGTAATCTTTTCAGCCTTCAAAACATCTCAAATATTAACTCCTGAAGCTTTAACTAACTTCCCCCACCCCAATTACTGTTCCTAGAATCACTCTCCTTGCTTCATTTACTTCTCTCTTCTAAATTTAAAGCCCCACTAGGACATCATAAAGTCAGTGGCTACCACAGAGCTTGGCTTGAAGAAAGTGCTCAATAAATGAACAGTGAGGTAACGGATTTGAAGGAAATCATTAATAAAGTCAATTAATAATTAATAGTCAGGACAGAACTCCTGTTCCAGTGACAAGCAGTCTATATTTTGAGACAAACAGGAAAAGACTGACTTGTCATTCATTTGGATTAACTTCACAGACATTGATAAAGAGATTTGTTACTTATCAATTTCCTTTGGAGGAAGGTCCAGAATGAATTTGCTTTCTGTTTTACCTGTTAGCATTTAGGTTCTGCTGATTTCAAATTGGCTCACTTTTCATATTAATCACTTCTTTTTTTTTTTTTTAAGTAGACACTCAACCACTGAGCCACACCTGCCCAGTGGGGGTTGCAATTTTATTTTTTTTAATATATTTTATTGATTTTTTAGAGAGGAGGGGAGAGGGATAGAGAGTTAGAAACATCGATGAGAGAGAAACATCGATCAGCTGCCTCTTGCACGCCCCCTACTGGGGATGCCCGCAACCAAGGTACATGCCCTTGACCGGAATCGAACCTGGGACCCTTGAGTCTGCAGGCCGATGCTCTATCCGCTGAGCCAAACTGGTTAGGGCATATTAATCACTTCTAACAAGATATTGAATAAATGTAAAAAGATGGTTTTTCCTTTAAGGAAATGATTACATGACTATTCAGCAAATGATCTCTTGAGTTGGTACCAATAATCTGTTCTTTATTCCCAGATTTTAAGCTCCTCTTTGCTATTAATTTTAAAAGTCTTTCTCTGTTCAAGGTTGATACTCCCTCTCCAAGCCCAATGGAAACATCTGGCTGTGCCCCTGCAGAAGAATATCTGTGCCAGGCTTTCTCTGATGTAATGCTTGCAGTGAATGATGTGGATGCAGAAGATGGAGCTGATCCAAACCTTTGTAGTGAATATGTGAAAGATATCTATACTTATCTGAGACAAGTTGAGGTCAGTATTATGATTAGAATCTTTGAATCTTTGTGTTTTTTTTCTAAACTGCATCTATATTTATTAGGTATTTTCCATTAATAGTTTACAATAATTTAAGTTGGATGTGAGAAAAACATTTAACAATAAATTCCACTTTCGAATTCTCCTTCCTTGAATAAAAAAAAGTCACTAAACAAACTTAGGAAGTCTGTATTTGCCATTTTGAACAGGCATAGTTTGAAGTAAAAGTAGATACTACCATGGCTCTTTCTAACAAATTCCACAGATTGGAGATATATTTATATCTATCACAGTTAGAAACTGGCAAGTCCCAAACTCTGGGTTTAAGGAGGATAACAGGAGGTAGATGGATATTAGTGGCATCACCTTTATCCCTTCCCCCACCCCAAAAAGGGGAAACATTCTGTATGCTAACATAGGCTATGCATTACCAGATTTTTCCAGTTTTTGGTAATGCATGCTCTTCCCTTAGCATCATTAACATCTTCAATCTCTTGCCTGTTTCTTTGAGGCATTTCCATTTCCTACAGGATTGTCCTGCAAGATGACTTCCTTGCTAGGACTAGCTTTCTGCTTTGGGTGTCTTCTCCCTTCTTAAAGTTCATGTTCTAACTTTGGAGGAGTGGATTTAGCAAATGTATGCGCCGTACCTTGATGATTCATTCTTCACCTTATCGATGGGTGTTTTGGGGGTTTAAACCCTGGGGCAGGAGAATGGTAGCACCAGGGTTCCAGATGATCTGAGAGTTGCTATTTTTCTCTACTTGATAAAGCTCAGGTTCTGGGTTTTAGAGTCTTAGGTGAAAAGATTGGAGATGATAGTAAAGTATCTTTATTTGGGAACAA